GGGAAGACCCTCCATGAGGTGGATTGATTCAGTGACTGGGGTAATCGGGATGGGTGTGTCAGAGGCAATGCAATTGGTACAGGATAGAGCAGGGTTTAGGGCTGTTGTACATAGCGTCTCTATGAGTCACAAACGACTCGATGGCACATAACAACAACCAACAACACAAATAACAGCATAAATAGAAGCTCAGAGTATTTAAGGACAATATGACCCTGAATAATGCCAAATAGAAATATGAATTCAATATTTTATGTTTTTATAATGTGACTTGGTATTGACTGGAATGAACAGAACATGCCTTCAGATGATACTAATGCAAGGTCTTAAGCCAACCAGACAGAGCGGAGGGTGAAGTCAGTCAATACCAATTCTTCAGGGTGGTCACGTTAAAGTACCTACAATAGGAAAGATGAAACACTTAGGATTTCGCATGAGATCTTCACACAGAATCAATATATTATAGTGATACCAGAAATTTTCAAGAAAAAGGTGAGCAAGCCAATAGAGGGCATTGTTGATATTCACATGGGAATCTGCACTCTGAGGCTTGTTTCTGAAAAGTCTTGTGATATCTTGAAACTTGCTGACATGAGATAGGTAGGTCATCTTAGAGAACTCCATTCTATCACAGCAAGGGAGGAACAAAGCAACTTCCCCTGAAACAATTAACATGTTTCCACTCAGTAGGTAGCAGTCCTTGGTTCATTGGTTGCAATGACACCTGTGTAAATATATTATGCAAAGTAGGTGAGTAGTGCTAGGACCAATTCAATCATGTATATTGCTAAAGATTCCCACTCTGATCAATTTTCATGATGCCATGAAGTTCCATAATGCCTAAAATGCTAATTGTTGTTGTTATGTGCCGTCGAGTCACTTGTGACTCATAGCGACCCTATGTACAATAGCCCTAAACTCTGCTCTGTCTTGTGCCAATCAGACTGTCTCTGACACACTTATCCCAATTACCCAAGTCACTGAATCAATCCACCTCATAGAGGGTCTTTCCCTCCTGCGCTGTCCCTTAGATTGACTAATTTTGCCCTCTTTTTTTTTAGTTTTTCTCTTTCTTGGGCTCAGATTGTGCTCTAATAGCTTGACAAGGTCCAGTTAAAACTGGAAAGTACCCTATGATTTTCATTTTACCTTTGTTTTTGCCCCAAATTATTTATTGCTCTCATATGTGCATGGGAGAAGGGTAGGCAATCTCCTCCCATATGATTAACTGCCTCTGACAACTCCCAGGAGGGTCAGCTATAGGTCAGTTCTGACTCTATAATACACAACAGCAACATCCTATGTACTGCCAAAAGAACAAATATGTCTCTGAGAAAGTGCAAGCAGATTGCTCCTTGGAGGCAAG